AAAAAAAAAAAAAAAAAAAAAAAAAAAAAAAAACAAGTTTAGATAGGTTCTTAAAAACATTTTTTGTAGCATAATTTGCTTTATAAAATTCCATAGTCTGGTGGTCTTATTCTGACGTAGTAGAGGATTGTGCACCTTAGATTTCGTATTGAAAATAATATATTACTGCTACAGTAACTTGTGGCAATAACATATTAGCACAGCCCTTTAGTGCGGTGCAGCCTTAATCAGCTGCTTCTCATAACCAGGAAATGCGGTATAAAAATCTAATTTTCATCAGTCAGTCCTCACAGATATATTTAGAGAACTTGCCCGTTGTGGAAAAACACTTGTAAATCATTGCTTTGCACGGCTGTCACTTGTAACCTGTAGTGCGACATTCTCTGCCAATTAAATGTCGTGGTTTCAAAGAGAGGGCATCTAGCTTGCGGTGAGGAAGTAACAACAATATTGGATGAGACGTAAAATTTCATTACGTGAAAATGTTTACAGACAGTTGTACAGAGCTGTAATGCGTGGTTTACAGCATGTTGTGGCGAGTTGTGATGGCGGAAAAGGTAATTTTAGTCAATAAAAGCAAAGAGAGAGGGGTACTGTCTAATGTGAGATAAAGTCTAAAGAATTATGGCTTTTGCAAGATGCATTTGATACAGGGTTTTAAATTTCAATGTTCAAAGAGTGAGCGAAGTAAAGGACTTCTCAGGGCGTAATAGGCATATCTCAAATATATTTCGTAGCTATTTTAATTGTGTAGCATATATGAGCTCAAGTTAAAGTTCTTTCTCAAGTGTTAAATGCTGTAATCTTTTATGTCGGCCAGACAATAGCGGTTCCGGAAAAATGTGTGTTTTGTAACTGTTATGTAAGACAGCATTTTCCTTCACTCTTTCATGATACCAGAATATGTATTGGCCGCGCAATTTTGCGAGTAAGAAAAGAAGTAACGAACTAGCTGCAGCAGCAGTGTGTTTAAATTACTGTTAGCATCTGTACGGGTTCCTTTGAAGCAGTTTTTGTTGCCACTGTTGTTCATGGCAATTCAACATCGTCTCATTTTCATTCTAGTCCCAGTGTGTCGATAGACGCTTTAAACAAAGATATGACATCGATTGCTGAAGCTCCGATCAAAACCAGACACCTACTTGGTATGACTTACTAGAGGAAGAAATTTGGAAGAGTAGAGAAGACGCTAAAGTCAGAAGTTTTTGTCTTCAAGGAAGGAAATTTCGTGGTGAAATGCATAAGATTATAACGGCTGTGGATTATTTTCAATCCCAAATCCTTTTCCAGCGTACAACCCTCCAATACGTCAGAATAAGACCACCAGAATGTGGTGTTTTGTAAAGCAAAATACAAAAAAATTTTTCTCAAGTGCCCGTCCATAATTTCGTTTTTTTTTTGTGTCTATCCAACTGTTTAGCAGAATCGAGTCACATAATATGTATACTAAAGCAGAAGACATTAAAGATCTCACGAATTATGAGTTATTTGAATACTGGGTTTTATTAAGGTTGAGCAAAACCACAAGCCAAAGAATGTGGGCATGCCAAGCAGTCGATGAAATACTTTGAAAGCTTCAGGAAGAGTTTAGTGCAAAATGTGTTTTTCCAGGTTTGTTCCGTGGTCATTTAAATTTAGGCATATTCTATATTAACCTGTAAAGTTGCATAAAATTAAAGTTTTCAAATGGAAAAAGTGTGCGAACTGGCATGAAGAGGCTCACGTATATATAAGACGGTCAGTGTGGAAGGGCTCTTGATTTCCCACAAACAATTTTTCAGTCTTTAAAGTTTTAAGAAAGAACTAAGCCTATTACATTAAGTAAAACCGTAAACGGAATTTTTCAAAGCTAGTTGTTTTTAAAAAACAGATTTCAATTGCTATCGCATTTTAATGTGCGTCAAGTCTCGAAACTTCCTGTCTATCAAACAGACCATAGAGGCACTAAGTGTTGCTGCATTTCCTCTGTCGAAAAAAACAAGAACAATTTATAAATCATCTTTGGCAACAGCTTGCAAATCATTGTTATCAGATCACCTACGTTTTCTAGTACTCTTGCCGTTTACTTTAAAGTTGTCAGAGGCCGACGGCTGACTGATGAAAAGCAAAAGTTGGTTTTGGGAAGTTAGGAAAGCGCCGTTTCATCAAACATTTATACAGGAAAAAGTCCTCTAAAAGTACTCCTCACCCACGTAAGCCGCGACAGCTGCGAAATTGTGAATTGCAGTCGAGTAGAAATTTCAATGCTCAACTAAAGACTTAATACTTTCTCTGTCACAAACCACCAGTCACCATTGAGACACAGTGGGGTGTTTGAGCAGGATGATTGACGGCTGCCCGATGTCTGTCGGAATCGACTACCATCTACCATACAATGGCATCAGCAAGGGACCCAATGAAACCTGAACTAGTAAGTTCTACCGTAAATTTTCCATTTTCAAAACAAAAGCACCAGATTCTCAAAGTCTTTTTCTGCGAGGTTGAGCTTTTCATCAAGCACTTTAGGGTTCATAAACAAAAACCCATCTATGTTCATATGAGAAACTGTGAAAGTATTGACCTGTTAGCCAAAAAAACGCCTAAAAAACTCTTCGAAAATACTAGAAAAGTCCATTCCGTGCCCTCTGCCAAAGAAGTGAAAGGTAGTTGAGAAATTCTATGAGTTCCTACTGGTAAACTGTTAATTATTCTATCAAACAGTGTTTTCCCGAAGCTTCTAGCATAAATTTGAGACAAGAAGTGTATAAATGAAAGTGAAGCGAGTCATGTTTTTTAAAAATCCATAGGTTATTATATTCTCTCTTTCCTCCACAGCAGAATAAATTAGCATCCCATTGATGCTTTAATTCCTTAGTTATATGCTCTAATTGAAATGATCGTTTTCTGGCCGAGTTATGACACGCTTTAAACATCGTAGCTGAAAACTGAACTTAACCACATAACTCTGACCCAACCTATAGAGCTCGATGGCAACAAAACAAGTTAAAAAATAAATAAATAAATAAATAAAAATTAGCTTCAGAATACGAAAAATACATTGTGAATAAGGATTTGAATGAGGAAGATTTAAAACCTCTGAAGCGTAACTTTTTTAATTCCCAAAATGCTATCCATCTTTGACTGAAGCAAATTTAAAGAGGCCTTTGAAAAATTAAAAATCAAGTAAGTATTAACCAAAAAACTATAGAATAAACACTAACTTACGCAGCTAAACTAATATTCCCCAATTCTTAAGAATAATCAATAATCAAAAGCCAGTTTTCATCATATAGTATAAGAAAAAAAGTAAATAGCAAGGATATTGTGTACCTGTAAAGCATACGCAAAATCTGCTTTGGCTTGGTTTACATTAACAGCATAATCGAATTCCGCCTGTTTCAACTCGTAATCCCGTTTGGCCTTAGCAATTTCAATATCATTCATATATTTTGCTATCTGACGTTTTTCTTCAGCGGCAGCTTCCTAAACTTGAATATTTAGTCGAAAAAGAAGTGTTGGAACAACGAAGACATTGCTTAACGCTTCAGGCCTACAAACTATCGCAAAAAAATTTGCCCAATGCAGCATAATAAGCGGAATATAAGAAAAACAATAAAAGTACCTTTATTACTTGGTCCCTTTTAGCAATTGCCTCCCCAATACGTGCATCTCTCTTGACTTCGGCTGTTCTTTTCATCCCAAGAGCTAGCAGATAACCCTAGAAAGGAATAGAAAAAAACACTCATAGCCTATCACAATTCATTTAAGTTCCTATTTTCAAAATTAGCGGTTAGTCTGCCTGACCAATACCAGAGGAGAAAACTAACTATTTAAGGCTGGCGAAAGAAACAATGGCTTCAGCAATATTTCGAAAACAATTTTCAAATTCGTTTGAAACTCATTTAACTGAACAAACATTGTCATCCCGGATGTCCTTTATCGTGTAGGATACAACGGTGATTCCCATGTTAACAAGGTCACACTTGGCAACTTCAAAAACCTTTTCACTAAATTTCTTCCGATCCTGGTAAATTTCCTGTAAAAGGTAAACGAATAAATAATATTTAGGTGAACTAACAATTAAGTGGAAAAAACAAGCACCTAATAGCTTATCTTACTTCAACAGTCATTAAACCCATTATAGCGCGCTGATGTCCTTCAAGAGTCTCCAAAGCAATCT